GGGGCAAGTTTTGGTGAGTTCAGCTGTATTCATTTTTGTTTCTCCCATCAGACCAGAGCTTGATACCTGCAGATACTTGCACCAGTTACTGAAACAGCCCAGACTAGGTCACACTGGCCAGGCACACACACTCCTCCCTGCCTCTGTATTTTTCCCTGCCATTCTCTGATAGTTTAACTCTGGTGATTCCGCAGGAAGCCAGAGTATCAGAACAGAATAACAAGTAACATAACACGGAAATACTACTCGGTGCAGGAATTAAAAGGCCTAGGATGGAACTTGTAATAAATAATAGTAAAGTACCGGAATGTTACTCTATTCTCTTCAACAGAAACCCAAACACAAATAGATTCCAGCAAAAAACCAGGAGCAGAGAACTTTATCTCAGATAAGACTAAGAACAAGAAGGACACAGAGAAGGGGGAAGAAAGCCCTACAAGGCATGAGTGTAGGGACATCCACCACCTACAGACCCCAGGGTTGGCAAATTCATAAGCAGACACTTAACCCCAGATGGTAAGCAAGTTTAAACCTACTTGTGGTTCCGTTGTTTCTACCCTTGTTTGTATTTTTTTAATTGCAATTTATCCCCCTTCATATTTTATACCTTATCCTAGACAAGCCTTAAATCGATCAATCAAAAACTGCATAGTGCAATATTCAATTTCCATGATGACTCAGAGTCATTAATAAATGATTATATTGCTTATTTTCCACTCAGGATAAAAGCACACAAGATAGCTCAGACAAGATACCTTAGACCCATCCCATCACGCACTTCCCTAAGTTCTGGAGATTAAAGTGCTATCCACCAGGCCAACATGGAGCTGCTGCCTGGTCCTCAGCACCAGCTCTGAACACCTCCTGAGGGAATGGAGAGCCTGAGAGTCCCAGAGACTCAGTGAGACAGTCAGTCTACTCTATATCCTGGGCGGGGAACATGCCATCCTGTAGCCACCTACTAGCAGTAAGTGACTTGGGGACCTCCCTGATTGCTGGGGACCTGGCAAACTGTCACATCCCCTGTCTCTGAATCAGACCACAGCAACCATCATGGTTGCCTGCTACTCGCTCCTATTCCTCCTCAGCTAGGATGATGCTACTCTGTCCCTGGAGTCCATGGTGGGGACCTGGGGACACTTTGCCTCTGTCTGCTGTGTAGAAGAGGCTCCAAGGCCCACCACAGAGAGAGAGAGAGAGAGAGAGAGAGAGAGAGAGAGAGAAGTTCACAAGGCTCGTTCATAACAGAGCACAGTCTCCCTCCTCGCTCTGTGTCCCCTGTCCCCTTCTCTCCCTAGTGGGGCATAAGGGCCACAGGACACATAATATCCCCTGTTGCCATCTGTCATTATTTGCACACATCCAGAGCATAACGTTTAGAATATGTCCTCGAATTTTGTTTTGAAAATCATTTAAAATTAATTCTTCTCCAAGGCCTGAGCTCCACCAGGAGACAGGCCATGCTGATGGGCGAATGCCAGCTCCGGGTCACCTCTGCTGCGAGGGACCATGCCACTGCAGGCTGTCATGGGAAGGACAGGTGCCTGTGACCATGTGCAGTACATACAGTCTGTCCTCCTGCACAGGCTCACCTACCCCAAGAGAGCTTCGGGAATGTGGACCTCACTGAATTTCACCTATGTGGAAAGATGTGTTTATAAGAGTGGACTCTGCTTTACCTAGTACTCTTCACTGTGAGCAGTAATGTACCTGGAGAGTTACTTAGTGTGTGTGGGCTGAGTCCCACTGACAGGGAAAGCTCGGGAGTCCCCCAGCCCTGTGCCAAGCAGAACCCCTGGATGTACGACGGCTGAGATGTAATGGGCACTGGCCAACTCAACGTGATCCAACAGGTCCCACAGGAAGCAGACTAGCTATCAGTATGCACAAAATACCAGGAGACTCCCATCTAAGGAGGGGCCCACCTGCAGCCAGGTAACTTCTGGTACTGCTCACACCGGCTAAGTCACCTATGACCCCTGAGTCACCCTGACCACCAGTACATGTAAAGATTCCTTTGTGTCCACTGCTGGATAAATGGATAAATATCTTGTGGTATGCACTTACCAAGGAATATTATTTAGCCTTTAGAAAGAAGAAAATCCTGCTAGTTGCAGCAATAAGGCGAGGATACACCAAATAAAATAAGCCTGAGAGACAAGCAGGCATGATTCGCTTTGAGGTGATATATACTAAATAGGCAAACTCACAGAAACAGAGGGGTGAGAGAAAGGAAAGAGGAGGTGCTCATCAAAGCAAATGAAGTTTCAGTTGTGTAAATATGTAAGATCTGGAGATCTGCTATACACCATAGGGCCTATGATTAACAACACAGCATTGTGTGTTTAAAAACTTACTAAGAACGGAGATCTTACATTAAGTGCTCTTAACACATACATAATCAAATCAAAATAAAACAAAGGAATGGAAAAAATTTTCAGAGGTAATGGAAAAGTACACGGCACTGACAGTGGCCATGGTTTGAAGAATTCATGGGCATAAACGTCCAACAACTAAGCTGTTTATATTCAATACACACTTTATGTAGGTCAATCATACTTCAATAAACCTTTTTTTTTAAAAAAACAAAGGTTTCCTTTGGCTCCTAGTTCAAAATGACTGTGATACCCCTATGTTTACTACTTCACCAAACCCAATACACTGAACAAGTGGCACAAAGGTTCAGAAAGTAAAGAACTTAACAGTAGCAAAGAGAAGAGGAAAAGAGGGCAAAAGCAGATGTGAGTCCAAAACATCTCCAGGTGACAGAGGCCTGTAGAATGTGTTGATGGAGAAAGGAATGGAGAAAGTTCTCTAGAACTTGCCACAAGAGGGTTGCAGAGAAGGCAAGGCTACACATAGCTAAGTCCAGGCAGCTCTAGGAAGTGTGAGTAGGGAACACACAGATTTCCTCTCCTGTGCACAATGCACGAAGCCGTCATGAAAATGTTACATTCTGTCACGGTGCAAGCTGTGACTTCAGGTTGGTGGTCTCATGTGTGGTCATCATCGTTCTGCCTGGGGGACCTCCTTCCACCCTAAAGCGAAGCCTGCTAAGCCACACACAGAAGCCCCCAGCAAATTTCCTTATCAGGGGAGAGGAGCACGGGCTCACACCACAAAGACAGAGCCTAATCAGGTGCCTGTGTCCCGGCTCCAGTGAGAAGTGAGAACCAAAAACAAATGACAAAGATGACGATGATGATGATGACAGTGACGACGACAGAGACGATGATGATGACTGGTAACAAAGAAAAGGAAAGAAGCATCGGTTCATCACCAGACTCTGTTTCCTGGGAGCCAGGAGTACGGAAACTTCCAGGATAATGCATTCCACATTCTCGGGGCAACTGATAACTCAACACAGAAATGGACCCATAGAATGATTTCTAGCAAGTCTGCCACCTACACCTCCATTTCTTGGAGATATCAAGAATGTACTCTAGCAAAATCAGAAGAACATCCAAAATTCAGAAAGATTGGGCCCAGCCAAAGTGGGCAATGACCACTGAGTCAAAGACCAGGAAGCAGCAACCTGAAGTGGGAGAAGGTGGATAAGGTGAGGCTGCCTTGGTCCCATCACTCAGGAAGCTGAAACAGGAGCGCTCCTAAGTCTAGGAACTAGGGGTCAGCCTGGGCAATGCAGTGAGACCCTATTGCAAAATATATAAGTAAAATGGGCACCAGCACAGGCAAGGAAAAGTGCTTGCAAAGCCAAGGGAAGGGGTTCTGCAAAATGTGTGTAACAACTGAGTGCATGAAGAAAGCTTACTGCTTTTTTCAAAACAACAAAAAGGCAATTACAAAATTGAAGAAAAGCAAAACACAGAAATCATGACTCAAAAATAAATCTAAATATATGGTGGTGGTTTTAAGCGACTTTCGGAGTATCTTTTGCACCAATCAAGAAAAAAAATCTAGATTTTTGTGTGCTCTGAGAGGTCCAGAGCCTTGCAGTCATAGCCACAGAGACGACACTTTTTAACCATATCTCATGCACCAACATCACCGGTGTTCATTGACTATTTTTAACTTACAAAATCAAAATGATAGAACCCCAGTGAAAATCAGAGTGATTTCCAGAAAAATCTCCAATGTTCCCAGCCTGGATGCTGAAGCCATGGTAAAGTAGGAATGGGGGTGGTAGTGGGAGAAGGCGAAGAGAATAACTAAGACTGTTGAAACTAGATTTAACAAGAAATAAAGTGTTAGTGTATTACTTAAAATTACAAACACAGCTAACATGGAACTAAAAATAACTACCCAGTGCTGAAAATAGAAAAAAGAAATGGAGGATGGGATAACTAAAAAATTTTGCTGTTTTTAGCAGAGGTCGTAACTGTTGGAAGTGCCGCTGGTTAGCTGAGGTAGGAAGAGGGGGCCTGCTGCATCTCATCATAATCTTTTCTGGCTGACTTGCTGTTGTATGCAAGTGCTGTCTAAGTGAAAATGTTACATTCTGTCATCAAACTGCAGCTCCCCTCTCCTGCCCCAAATTAGTGGCACACTGGCCTGTCTTGGTACCTAGTGATATCTCCTCTAGGGTTCATTAAGACACATCCTCCAAGCATGCTTCCATGGCCCCCTCTTCAAAAAAGAGGGCACCGTACTACCCTCCATGTCACCAGTCACAGCTGTACAACGAAATGAAATGCAGACATTATTCATGCTGATTCACAAAGTTAGTATTTCTCTCCCATCCCTTGTCTGCCCTTCATAAATCAACTACATCTCTCCAGCAGTAGCAACATGACATCACTGTATTGGAATGAGACCGCAACCCTCCAAGTCACCAGATGCTAATACGCAGTAATTACATTTAAGAAGCTCATCTAAAAAAATCAAGATGGAATATTAATAAGGTCAGTAGCAAGGAGATATTGATGGGTGAGGCAAGAGGCTTAAATTTACAAAGAGATCTTATGTTAGATAAATATTTCTTAAAATCTTCAACATTGGTTTTAGAAAAAAATAAAGTCCAAGCTGGACACCTGGCTTACCAGTAGTTCATATGAGGAGAAAGGACTTGAGCGGTGGACCAAAAGACCGATGGAGCTGTTAAACAAAGTTCCACAGATAATGATGTTCAACTCCATAACAATCCTACTTCCCCACCCTTCTCCCTGGCAGCCTGTGACCTCTGTCACGTCCAGTGACGACAGCCCAGGCAGCCGCCAGCCCAGCAGGCCTTGCAAAATTGCCTCACTCTTCTGTGGCCACCATTTCCGGGCTCTTTGGGATACCAGAGCTTTCAAGGACCTGGGCAAGGGCATAGGGCAGGCTTCCTACTCTGCTGTGAACTGCCCTGCTTTGAATAAAAGGGTTTGTTGGTTGAATCAGGATTTTAGAACCTCTGTGAAAATGTATTTTGCTCTCATTCTCATACAACTCATTTCATAAAATTTGTGGAAAATGGGAGAAATGAAAGTGCTGTAATTAATAACCACAAGAAATGTATGCTTAATATAAGTGAGGAAAGGATGAAAAGTGTTACATAACTTTGGCTATTGTTTTCTTTTTATTTCCACTAAACACTCACAGGCATCAGAATGGCAGACTATATGTTCGATTGTGCAGAATAAAAGATTATTTAAAGAACATATGTGAAAAACTAAAAATAAATGTCATTTTTAATGACTTAAAAATCAAGACATAGCTATTTTTAAAAATTTTGATCCCAGGGCCAGGGATTTAGCTCAGCGGTTCAGTGGCCTGCTTTGCAAGCGCAAGGACCCGAGTTCAATCCCTGGTACCACCCCCCCAAAAATTTGGTCCCAGTGAGTGAAATCATCCCCCTAACACATACATCTATACTTCTACACTTCTTGCTCCAATATCTTCAAGCACATCTACAACAGCAGCAGACCGCCTGGTCATCACTGGGCCTCATCAGCTGGTGAGTTGCAGTCAGGACAGGACCCCTCATCCGGCTTCCTTGGTCTACACCACTCCTGCAGTATTACTGGTGACTGCAGGCCTGTCTCAGAAACGCACTACAAAGAGTGAGTTCAGAGAGGAGAAGTGGGATGATAGAGGATCTGGAAAAACCTCATACAAAGAACGGCCGAAAGAACTGGGGATGCAGAAGAGATGAAGAAGCGAGGAGGAGACCTCAAGTCAGGCAACACTCACTGAGCTCTGCTTCCTGGTGGGTCCCGTGAGGAACCAACTGAGAACCAGTTGCCCCCTGTGCCCTCAGGAGTGGAAGGGGTGTAAATTTCCACACATCTGACAGGATGTTAAAGAGTTAGACCAACGAGAAAATGAAAACAGAGTTGAGCTTAACAGAAGTCCTTCTGATATTCATGTACTCATTTAGCTATTCATTTCAATAACATTTATGAGACCAAGTGGCTATCCATAATACAGGAATTATTGGCCAAGACAATCCAGGGTTAGATGGCTAGCTACCCCAGGACTGGAAGGTGAGGACCTGGGAGGGCGGAGCAAGGCAGGGACAGAGATGAATGAGTGCCATTTCCCTAGCTTTTATATAGGGCAAGGGTTTGGGACACTTAACTACATGACTAAAACAAACACAAAAACAAGTGCAAAGTGACAGAGAGCCATGAAATGTATCATAACCCATAATTATGATTAAATTTGTACTTGACACTCAAAATATTTTAAAAACATTAAGAAATTCCTGCATCAAGTATGACTTATGAAAGAGTAGATTTCAGCCAAATTGAAGGAATAGAGTCCAAATTTCTAGATTTCATACACTTTCCAAACTACCCTTTTCCTTTCCCCTGCAATAAAACAAGAGAAATCATTTAGGTTTAAAATAAAATATTTATTAAAAAAAACCTCAGAACACTGGACCTACTGAATACATCAGGCTTCAAGAAATTATCGCTGTTTTTTCCTTCCTATTTTGCTGAGGATGAGTAAAAATGTCTTTCTGTGCTGGTATCAGCCTTAGGGAGTCACTAGATTAATTCGATGCTCTGTCCACTGTGATGGTTTCCCCAGCAATGCAAGAGCTGCAACCTTAAAACCAATGGTGAACATAGTGGGCATCAGAGGACACAGCACATTTAACCAGAGATGTGACCAACCTTCTTGATTTCTCTGTCTACAACTTGGACAGATTTTATATGATTTCCTTTACCGATGGTGTCTTATACTAGGAACCCATCCTGCTAGTCCCAGTGCTGTGGACAGGCTCTAGGTTTCTCTTGCCAGAGCCCTCACATCTTAAGGATAAAGGACCCCTTCTACTCTAGAAATTGTGAGGGACACTCAGCCTGCTAAGGACCCATGAAGCAGGTCCCAAAGGCCATAGGACTAATCTGACTTGATGTCCTCGTGTCAGGAGCCAAGTCGGGGACAAGTTCAATGACACTTTCTGGGAACTATCAAGACCCTGGCTCCTGTGCAATTGGTTATGACAGACATCTTCAGAGTGTGCAAAACTTACGGACCCTGCTTGGTGTTGTGTCAAGCTCACGGGTGGGGGGGGTGCACAAGAGCCTCTTCCTAGTTATCTCTCAAAGTCAGGAGCACTGCAGAGGACCCATAGGTAAATCACATCGATTTTAAAGATTTCAGCTCCTCATCTGAAGAGAGGCAATTCAGTAGGAGAAGCTAATCCTTGTTGAAACAATCAGGAATAAAGCATGCTCCAGACTTTAAAATAAGGTAGGTTATCATGACTCAACACCAATTACAGTAATGTCCATAAGACTTAAAATGCAATTCCCCAAAGGGAAAATCAGTCAGATACGGAAACACTGTTGCTGGGCCTCTAGGACACAACTGACAAAGGTGTCAGGAAGGTGATGGAATTGTCTCGGTGCAGGATACCACTGGGCGACCTGTGTGTGTATTCACAGAGTTGTTAGGAAGGCCTGACAGCAAGAGATCAAAGGTGATCTCCCCGACGTGCACTTGCAGCGTCCCAGGCGCTCCCTGCCCCTTGTAGATAAGGAAAGCAGGTCTCCATGAGTATGTTTATTCAGACATATGCTTGCCATAGCTTGGCTCCAGAAACAAAACTTACGATTGCCATGTATAACCTCTGTATGTTTTAACTTCTGTAAGGATTAACATAGCCTGTAACTAGTGACATGTAACAGCTCACTGTGTAGGGTATAAATAGAGGAACAAATAAAGATCTGGGTCTTTGCTCCTTGAAGCTTTGACCCCCTGTGCCTCACTACTTTGTGTCTTGCATTTCTTAATAAGTCCCTCTCCCTTAGAGACCCCCCCAACAGAATGGAACTACAGAAAACTAGCAATAGTGATAAAATGAGGCAGCAGACAATATTTAAAAGTTGAAAGAAACACTCCCTAGTTGGCCACCTAGGTTAAGTCATTCACTCTCTCGCTCTCTTCTGGATCTTCCCTCTCCTAATTTATCAAGTGGAAATAATAGTATTGCTCCAGACTTTCCCACAGAACTGCTCCTAGGAACACAGTGTATGTGCAAATGCTTTCAAAATGACAGATCTGCCAGAAATGCTGTGGGTTGGTATTTTTCAAATCTTTGAGGACTATCTATTACTGTAAACTGACTCATCTCTTTCTCTCCTTCCTTCCAGTTTTTTGAAAAGTTGTTTTTGACAAATTTACATATAAGCACATTCACTCCCTTACTATGAGTAACAGCCTCACTACACAGACTGCCATCATTCTCCACTTGACAGAAGAGGAAACTGAGGCACAGAGCGATTGAACGGAGCAAGGTGGATGAAGACCCAGGCAGGCTGGCACTGTGACCCTCACTTCACCCCAGGACCGTGAGGCCACACAAGTCACCAAAGTTTGTTACAGCCATCTCTTCCTGGACAGGCACACTCCACAAATGGCAAAGCAGTCAGAACCACTCGACCCACGGCTGCAAGGAACCCAGTGCCAGCTCACTGCAAAATGTACTTCTTTTCCTTTCAACTGATTTCCAAAGATTCAGGAGACATCATATCTTCAGAATATTGTTAGACAACAGTACAGACTTTCGCAGGAGAAAGACTCCCCACGGGTTGTCAAAGTAATCTTTTTAAATGCAAATTAAATTTTTTATGCGAGCTATAGAAGAGTGTACCTGCATTTAACGCTACATATGCCAGAAACTTAATGTGCTGAAATATTAAAAATTTCTAAACATTTTATTATCCTGCCCAAATTCTATAATTTTGGAAAAGCAAATCCAAAAATATATTAAATAACAATATTAATCAAGACCACTGGTGTCTAAACTTAAAAGTCACTCAACCTTTTTCATATAAATGAGACATGTCCCTGGTGTGTATGTGGTGTTTTAAAACACTCAACAAAAGAGACATCAAAAATGATAACAAGCAGAAATATACTTCCTTTCTTAATCCCACAGCAGAGTCTCTGAGCATCTTCCAGGATGCTATCCGCCCGCCCGCCTCCCCTCAACACCTACTGCTCTCTGACTTTACAACCTGAGCTCCAGGGTCAGACAGCCCCAGTTCAACTCCTAGCCCACTTTTTAATTTGATGGGACCTGGGGTGAGTCATTCATATCTCCTGTTCCTGTTTCCACGTCTGTGAAATTCAGACAACCATCGTCCCTGATGCACAGATACAGTAATTTAAATTATGTAACATGTGAACTGTATCTAGCACAGAGCATCCAACAAAGGCAGCCCAACCAGGACCAGCACCCAACACATACCTCCTGCTAGGAACAGGGACAATGAGGCCCAAAGACATTGTGTGACTGTCCAGGGTGCAGAGCTGCTCATCTCAAGTGACCGACTGGAAGCCACTGGTGTTCTAGGACCATACTGGTCTGTCTTCTACATTCCACTAATTCTGGGAAAAGCAGACACAATGCTGGAGCTCCAGTCCATCCATCCATCAATCAATGAGTCTTTCATCGATCAACTAGATCAATCTATCTACCATCACTAATCTACATATCTTTACAAGACTGATGCTGAAAAATGAGGCCAGGAACCTGGTGTCTTCCCTCTAATACTTGCCTGGCATTAAATCTGCTTGCTGCCTCCCTCACCTCACAATCCACCCCCATTCCTATGTGACGCCGTCACCACAGCACAGAGAGGGAGCCTGGCTCCACCACGC